CACACAAAGTCAGTCACATATATACACATAGTCATATAGTCACAGTCCCACACACAGTGACACATAAAATGCTCTATCTAAATTTAAATTAAAAAAAAAATTCTTTTGAAAACATTGGATTATGAAAGTATAACACTTTAATAAACACACACTCACACTTAACATATAAAATACAGTCATGAACCTTTGGTTAGAACAAAAACAATACTGTCAAAATTGAGTGAAGCTATGGAACATCAACAAATCATAAATAAATTTGAATTTCAAAGGAAAATAAATAGAACCTTGATAGATTTCCTACAATTGACAATACGCATTTAGATAGAACCCTGATAAATTTCCAAAATGTGATGAAGAAAGGATGTGTGAAAAAGAAAACCTATAACAATAGGGAAGGAGCGGGAAAATTAGATATTTGGAGACACTGGAAGGGGACACGTGTCCCAAAACTTATTCGTTTATTATGTATAGAAGATACTAGTTATATCATATGTAATCGCCTGAATACTCATTTTTTCAATTCAATTGTCTGTTTTATCTTCAATTCAATTGTCTGTTTTATCTTAATTTTTATACCTTACCTTTTCGTGAGAACAAAAAAGAAGGAGACCATAGAGGAGGAGGTGACAGCTGTCACTTCTAGTCCCACATCTTTGGTTTCAAGTGCTTTAGTTAGCGATCCATCACCAACTGTCATGGGACCGGTGAAACCACGTGAACCCATACCATTAAATCAGCAGCTTGAGCTTTTCAAATGGATTTTGGAGGAGAAAAGGAAAGTGAAAACAAAAGATCTGGAGGAGAAAAAGAGAATCGACGAAGAAAAAGCCATTCTTAAACAATTCATCTGTGCAAAATCCGTCCCATCTCTGTAACTGCAGGTTCGTTCTTGTTCATTAACAAACTGTAAAGTTATTTTTCTTTTTTCGATCATATTTCTCCTACCGAATATCGATCAGTGTTTGCTAAACATGATTACAAAAACTATATTATTTTAATAATAATATATTTTTTAATACAAGGGTTTAGATAAGAGAGGCGAAATTGCTACCTCTAATACGTACATATCAATCCTTGTAATGCCTTTTTTTTTTTTTTTTTTGTTTTGTTTTGTTTTGTATGAGAGACAAATGTTAATGTTAAGTGCGTAAACTAAAGGGTCCTAGTAAGTTCAATTTTAGAACCAAAAGTGCTAAAAAGTGTATTGTAACTGATTCAAGCCATTCAACTATATGGGCACTCATCAATCGTCAATTTCAATACATAAAAAAAAAAAAAGAATTAAACACACCTGTAGAAAACTTTAAAAGATTTAGCTTTTTATTGATTAACTGTATTTTCAGGTGTTAAGTTTAAGTTGGAATTACAATACAAGTATTTTTTTCCTTCATGATTTGAAATGTAATCGAACTCAAGGCAACTCATTCGATTTACATTGAAACATGTTGATTATAGATCGTTTCACTTTCATCCCTTGGCCACACCTGTTGACAAAACTGTTTTGAGTCGATCTAATTTGACAAGTACTAAAAAAATAATTTATTTTAATTTGTTACATGCATACTTGCTTATTTCTAATCTAGATTAAGGTCCGTCAAAAATAAGTTATCTTATTGTAATTTGGCGTTTGATAAAACTATAAAAGTAGCTTATAAACTAGCTTATTGATAAGCTGATTTTGAGATTACTTATTGATAAGCTTGTTTGAGATAACTTATTTATAAGCTAAAATCTAACTTAATGTAATTTAGTGTTTGGTAAAACCACAAAAATAACTTATTCAAGTACAGACATGATGTGGTTATAGATGTTCTCTTTGATGCTTGTCAGCGTGCTGGTATTTCTGCGAAGAAAGAAACGACAATGAACTTTTTGACGGACCCGCAGGATGGAAGATCCACACTTAGACCGGTTGACATTTTGGTCTTTGGATGGGTAGGAGGGAAGAACGCTTGTGCGGATCTTACTGGGGTCTCTCCTCTCATCGGTTTAAGGAGCTGGGGTTTCACAGCAGGGCATGCCGCTTTGAAAGTCGTTGTATGCAAAGTGGCAAAGCACGAGAATGCATGTATAGAAAATCAACATGTGTTTGTACCTTTTTTGCATTTGATACATTTGGTTTTCTCGCACCAGAGGCGCTGGAGCTCCTCAACAGAGTCGAACGAGTCATACATTCTAATGTCATATCTCCTACATCCACATATGTTGTTTTCAAAAAAATTAGTTTTGTCATTCAGAAAGGGTTAGCGGCGCAGCTTGTTGCCCGTTTGCCTGCCATCGATATGTATTGAACTATATTAGTCGAATTAATGGATTCGGCTCTTTGTTTCTTCAAAAGATTAAACTTTTTTAAAAATAAGTAAATAACATGAATACATGCATAAAATAAAAACTGAGATATAATAACTTAGTATTCTATATATTTAACTTGTTTTTTATTATATGATTGAAAGAAAAAGGTATAATAATAAACGGATGTGAGAAATGTTTTCTTCTTTTCTGTTGCGGTAACGATAAAATTTAAAATGGAGGTGAGATTTTTTTTTGCCTAGACGATGTCTGTGAGAAATGTATTTTTGCCCCCGAACTATAGTTCATGTCTTTTGGAGAAGAGAATGTGCAAACGTTTTGACGTTCGCGGTCTTCTAAAAGACAAACAGTCTGCGAGAACACACAGACGAAAATGTCTTCCTGCCTACGACATAAATGTTCAAATAAAAATTCCAAAAAAAAAGACCATCTAAATCTACCTAATTGGACTTTTAAGTCTTGGTGTGTTCTTTTTTTTTTTGTTTTTGTTTTTGTTTTTTTTTTTGTAAACTCAACTCTTCTTTGGTTTTTCAGTCAATCAAGTTTTCTTTTAACATCACCCGGTTGATTTTGTGGACATTACAATTAAGAAAGTTATAACGTATAAACAATTTAATGTATAAGAAGTATTATAAAAACTATTACTAAAAAATCCCATTCTAGATCCTTGCCTAACTCCATCAACTTGTCCATTTATGATTTAACAACAATTACAACTACCATCATATTAAATTTTTAAATATGATGCAAATGATTATTATATAAAGTTGATGTAGATATTTTCATATGGTTGTTTTGTTTTGTTAAGAAAATATAATTTATTAATGTTATTATTGAAACTTTTAATTAATAATAATATGTTTTACTACATTTTTATATTGGCTATGGTACCACCCAAGAAAAAAACCAAGAAAACTCAAAAGGCTCATACAAAAAGACAGTCAAGTCAAACCCATTACCATGAAGTTGAATATATTTAAGCTTAATAATTATTTTAAAGGCATGAACATCATTCCATGGCCATGGGAGGTGTACTTTGATTTCCTTTATAGATTTGCTACACCATTTTATATGGTTATCTACATTATTACTAATTTTGCCCACTTATTCGATATCTATTTTGATTTTTTTTTTAAATCATGTGAGGATAACGTAGCTAAATGAATAATGATTTCTGTTATTATATATAAATGGATGCACGGTTTCGAGTGTTAATGGAGTTGAAGGGGTGAAGAAATTGCATGCTAATGTAGTAGTGGGTAATCGGGAGACAAATGATGATAATTCTTCGAATTCAAAGATAGAGAATTTGTTGCAGGTGGTGGTTTTGGAGTCCAGTGACAATGTGGCTAGCTTTTTGTTGGCCTCTTGCATGCTTCTTGGGCATGTTAAGAAGTTCGTATCAAATGAGAACATTCCTTTGTTTGTAAAAATGAAGTTTTTTAGGAATTCAACATGAAGCATATATATAAGAGAGCTATGTCATTTTTTTTTGTAGTACAAAGGGTAGAACAAGAGGTGTATTATGTGCATGCCCGTCTCAGAGGGTGAGCGATAGAGACGACCGTTCATGGCCCATCTTTTATAAGGGCCCAAATTTTTTAAGGAATATATATA